ATATTTCAAGAATAATATCTTAAATACATCGGCTAATATTGAAGATTGCATCTTTAAAATCGTATAAAAAAAATAGTTTTAAATTCTAGAAAAATCGAAGAATACATTGATTATATTATATAAAAAAAGAAATTTAAAAAAATGACCAAAAAATTGTTTTAATTAGAAACTGTTTTGACAAAAAAATTGTTTTATTAGAAACTATTTAGAATTTAGACAAAGATTTAAATTATTTTAGATTCAAATAATTTGAAATTCAAATCATTTTAAAGTTAGTAAAATTTAGACGTTTTTGAATTTAGACTCTTCATATTTGATCAACCTCTAATATTATAATTTGAAAATTTTTTTGAAACTAAAATTGGAGTTTTTCAAGTTCCAAATTGATTGAAATTACTTTGTTTTATTTTAAATTTATATCCTCAAATTCGTGTTTTTCTTTTATACTGTTCATTAATAAATTTAAATCGAATCAAAGTTCAGATTCAATATTAACAATTTTTCAAAATCAAATCCAAGGTCAAACTCAAATATGATAATTTCCTCAAATTCTAAATCAAATTTTATCCTTAATATTGTCTACCTCTAGTTTTAATGATACAGGTGTTTCAAATTACTTTTTCTTAAGTAAAACATTACTTAGAAACTTCCCCCCCCCCCCCCTTCAAGATCCAATACTGTGTGGTTTGTTACATGTATTTTTTTGCTTACCATAATTAAATTCTTCTATCATTCTGAAATCTGATTTTTTTTTTTTTAAATTGAAAAAACAGAAGGGGGCGAGGGGAGACCGCATGAAAATAAATTCTATTGCAAATGGACAACGAATCGTAAAAAATAATTAGGGTAAGCCAATTCACCATTTCCCACCAAAAATTCAGAAAACAAAAAACGCAGCTTAAAGAGGTTCATATGCTTAGTTGCATGCCTGCCTTCTACTTTCTAGACGTTAATCCCTTTCCCCATTGGTTACACTGAGGATTAGATCCTCCATCAACCATTTCAAGGCCATGTCTGCTTTCTTTCATCAAGCCTTTTCAGATCCCTTCCCTTCGTGTGTAGCGGTCCGAATCTGCAGGAAAAGGCAAAGATAACATCCAATTGACAAATTTATGTGACAACTGTTTATGAATTATGACCCAAAAACAGAGGCGATTTCTCTTCTGAATTCAATTGAAATCCAGGAAAAATGTGAACGGTGAAGTAACACCAGAAGCCCAACAAGTTTCAGTAACAAAAATTTCAAGGAGTCAATTAGAAAGAAAAATACCTATCTCTAATAAATATTTGCCTACGAGACTTTTTTCCCTCTCATAAAAAAAGACTAATGGAGTGGAATTACCATTCAAGTTATAGATGATTGCAAACTGGGCATGACGATTTCCTGCTCCAGCCATGGATCGATACACTGCCACATAAAGGGAATGAAGAAACAGATTAAATACTTGTTAACTTCCCCCTACAAGAAACTTGAAATTAATCCCACAAAAAGAAAAGCAAAGTGGCATTGCCAAGATAGAACACATTACATCCTTGTGAAATTTATGTAGACAAGGAAGATGGCGAATGGTTTCTCCGATGGTGGGGGTTTCAAGACATATGGCACAAGCTTCTTCAAAATTATCAGTCTGTATTGATAAAGGAATTGAACAAAAATAATTAGAAATTAGATCTGGAGAGCCAAATATAAGCAATGGAGATTGTATTTGCACGCATATATATGAGGAAAGCAAAACATAAAACACCTATCTATATGGTTTCATCCACATGGCCCAGACATTTACCTGTACTTTTGACAGTGGTAAACTGTTAATCTGATTAGTTGATGCACCACCATGCTGATGATTGTTATCATCCAGGGCCAACAGCATTTCATAATCGTTTCTGCAAGAAAATGAAAATGGAGACAAGATATAACAACTTCAACTAACAGCAGTTAATCCAGAGAGGATAGAAAATCTTAAATAGAACATTAAGCAACATAGAAATATGATAAACAGAAGTAAAAAAGATGAATTATTAAAGTTAAAAGTTATAGAAAGATCACTGGTTATCATCTGCCTATCCTGGATACTCCTAACAACACAGAATGACATGCTATTCTACAAAATTTCAAGGTCTTAATTTCCTTCAACCAAACTACAATATGGTAATTCCAAGTGGACCTGAAATTGGGCGGTCTATCCATGATCAGAAAGAAACTTGGATAAAACATCTGAACCAACTGATGTTAAAATGTTGACAAAAAAGATTGAAAAGAAGGAAAAGTTGGGCACTTTAAATCCCCTTACAGAGAGGTTTGTGAACATTTTTGGAATGCTATTACTTCACCAGTTTGCAAAGTATTCTTGATTTTGCTAATTACCACAATTTTAGATACATCAACCCAGAGTCACAGAATAGTTGTTAACTATCAGTGTAACTGATGCCTCCAACCTCTAAATAGTTGCAAGAAACTTTTAATTGTTGTTGTGGTATCATGGCTCCTTCCAAACTCAATAACCCCTTTTTTGGCCAATTCAAACCTTATAATCCAGAACCCTTCTAAATAGGCAAATTATTTCCATCTTATAATAGTTATATTCAACCAAAACGGGATGGTGTCCAACTACTTCATATTCATACCGTGGTTTCTAGTAAACCTATTTTACACCAATACAATAGCCAAGCTGTGTATTTTCCATCTTATATGAAACCATAAGGAAACAATATTAAGTAGGTTTAAAACTGCATGTATGTCTACCCAAAAAAAAAAAACTGTCCAGACTGTGCCATTATCAGAGCTGGTCATAGCTGGAGCCAAATCTGGATACAGTCCTATTATTTCTGCATAAAGTGGCAACCCTCAAAACTGCAGTTGTGTTTCACAGCCCAAGACACTTGCAGCAACGACTAAATAAATTGTCTACCAAATTTTAATGGTAATTATAATAGAAAAATCTTACTCATTAAAATCATGTTGAACTTGGAAGATGTGACTAGCCATTCCCATGTCATCACCATCTCCAATAGCAGCTTCCATGGCTTCCAATATACAAAGTCTCTGTGTCAAAAAGCCATAAATCAGTTATCGTTGAAAGTGAAGAAATACAGGATAGGACAACAAGGGGAAAAATTACCATATCCAAATCCATTTCCAAAGGAAACTGAAAATTCCTTGTCCTAGATGGTGCCACTCGAGGTTGATTCAAAACACGACTCCTCAACCGTCTAGCAGAAGTAAGTAAACGAGTCTGTACTCCTCTCCTATTTGAAGAATTCTGAAAAATTCGCAGCGGAGGCTGAGTACGAGAATGCCTTGTTGAGCCTCTCTGCATGAGAGGCAAAGAATAATATTACAAGGAGGAAATTATACAAATCCAAAATGAAAATTATCAATTTCATATAGTTGAAGAGAGAATCAATACCAGTTTAATTGCATAAAACAAAAATGATCCAAAAAAGCATTAAGCAATACATTTCTTTTATACTAGGATACAAGAAAAACCTTGATCAATATTAGCATATGATAATACTAGAGTCCGAAAAATATAAATATGCAATTCTACAAAAATGTCTTCCACTCGATTCAAATAGCATAACTGAAATATAGAATCCCTTCTTTTCATCTGGCATAGATTAGCATCAACCAAACAGTATATAAAGTTAAGGTCATTTGACCCTGCAGCAACAAAGAGAGAGTATTCATAAAGTTGAACCTCTGCCTTCTTTAATAACAATTATAGCTGTTTAAGCATCTAAGTACTAATTCCATGAGGATGGGTTCACAATATTTTATGCAATTTCCTTCATTTCTTTCAAATAAAATTGTTTATTAACATTAAATAAGGCTGCAAAATAGAGATAGAATACACACACAAAAAAAAAAGAAGGATATTGGTGCAGAGAAAGTTTAGAACTTCTTGAAATTACATCAACAAGATACACAGCATCAATATCACTTTGAGATCAGAAAAAACACAACTTTCCATATTTAATCAGAAAACTGAGAGAGCCTCTCAATTGGGGGATAAAAAAGAAACAGATAAAGAGGAAAGAGAAGAAGAGCAACCTGTAAGCAGTAATCAAGGAAACATTAACTTTAAACATTAAACATGAAACCAAGGGACAAAAAGCCACTTAGGAACCAACCAATGTGTTGTAAGCAGAATAGATAAGAAAACAATATTAATTATAAATGTGAAAAAAAAAAAAAAAGTATTTTAATGATGCCACAAGGACTTGAGTCTCAACATCCAAACAATGATTTATGCCATGCTTCAAGATCAAATTATTTATTAAGACAAACCCATAATTTACGGATTAAGTTCAGGCAGTTAATGGAACCATGAGCAAACCAAATAAAAGTAGGCGTGCACCAGAACACACTCACACACCTGAACAAATTTTGGTCAATACCAATAGGTTTACAATAATTGGTTACTTGAATGGCCAAGATATGAAGCTGCATGTTTCCTCTAATGCTTGCTTTATTTATTCCTTCAACGTACTAGTATCTCATCAAAGAGTCTTGACAAAGCTCATAACTAGGTCCCATTTTTTGGGATATAGTACAGCTGTATAAAAGCTAACTTGTCTCTACTTGCAGGATGGGGGATCTCACAGCCCTTTTCCCTAAAACCTTTTGGTATTTTTCTGAAAGGTGCTAAGACTAAATGGAAAAATATAACACAGAGTTTCAAATCTTTTTCAGGTCCAATGACCAGGCTAAACAATGGGGGTTAGCCCCCCACAGTTCCCTCATGAAGGCAGGATTGATTCCATGTCCATGGTAAAACCAACTTAGACAGCTAAACTAGCTGGCACAAGAGTTTCAAGATAGTTATAGTAAATGTACTCACAAGCTCAAACAAACAAGTTTAATCCAGCTCTTGTCATTTACCAATCAAATTCTAAATTAACTCTTAAGCATTTTGATAATTATCACAATCAAACAAGCAAAAACTTAAACAATGATGAACTAGAAAACCCTTTACGAACATCAAGGTTGCTGGGATCTAGGAAAAACATTACTAAATCCAAGTCTCTTCTACTTTTGACAGGAGAGGCTCTTGCCTCTTGTATGGCAAGTTTCCACTAGTTTAAACACAAATCTAGCAGCTATCCTAAACCTTCATGACCATAAAAGATTTCATGATGCACAGTCAATTTCATGCACTAAAAGTAGGCTCTAAGGTTATCATCCACTAAAAGAAAAAAGACTTTAAGCTTACATGATTTGGCTCACGGAAAGTCTGAATAGAAGTAGGACATAGTGCATCTTCCTCCTGCGGAAGTGCCCATGCAATGTTTTCATCAATCTGTTAAAATGTTCACAAACATTTAAAGCTAACGCATGTGAATAAACAAGTCACCGTTATTGAAGGGAGAAAAGCATCAAATAATAACAGAATCAACCTTGCCATCACCAAATATTGGGACCTCATGATATAATTGTTGTTGGAGTTCACGGGCCAACATTTCATCCGCTTCAACTTGCCTTGCCCTAGCCTCCAAGTCGTCATCATTCACACAGTCACCATAATTGGCACTTGTCCCTCTCATTTCATCAAGATCCAAAACATTCATATGTTGCCCAATATGAATTCTAGATGACCCTGAACTAGATGATCCCCTAGATGAACCAAAAAAACACAATGTCTGAGTCATTTGGAATGACCCTAGAGCTTTCACCACCATTTCTTGAGGTTAATACATGTTTCTTTTGCCTTTCAGGCAGCATTCTTTTTGCATTAGAAGGTTCACTTATTTGGATGAATTTTGAGAAGATCACAGTATCCATTTCAGTTGCATCTTGATTTTCTGGACAATCACATACAGTCCTGTTGTTTCCTCCACTAGCATTATCTCCTTTCATAACTCTATTTTCATTTTGTTGACTCACTTGGCATCCAACATTATTAAATCTGCTGAAATGATGTCCAGATGCATGATCTACATTCTTTGAATGGTTGCATGTGCTTCTCCAACCACCTTTTTCTTCAAAGCATGCCTCCCTATTCGAATCATTAATACCACCACTAGCTTCTACATTATTACTCACAGGACTACAGCAGGGAAACACTTGTTTTAATCATAAGGATCCTTCTAGTAAGAATTAAGGATAAACAAAATAAATCCACCAAGATTCTCTTGAAATCAATTGTACATATTCTGAATTTTAAAATAAAAAATGCTACATTGTCATTTGATCACATGCTATTCCAAAGCTTCTGGCAGAGATTGTACCCATCTCTTTGGCAAACATTTTAATACAACAAATGAAACCAATAAACAATAGAAAGAAAGCATCAAATAGACAATAGGCAAAGAAATCTAGTTAAAGAAGAACACTGCTTAAAAGTTACCTGCCAGATAAACTAATAAACTTGATGTCATGGCCCTTAGATGTGTGGGGATGGCCAACTCCTTTTCCTTTACCATAATTATTATCTTCAGCAATTATCTCACTAATATCTATCGTACAACAACCATTGCTAACCGCATTGCCAAAATTTTGTTCAGCTTTAAAGCTGTTTTGGGATTGTTCATTTAATTGTTTAGCTCTGATAGCTATATTCTGGGGGGAGATGCAGCCATTTCGAACCAATCTTTTTTGCCCAACTGCTCTTGGTGAGACAACAGAATGGTGAGATGCAGACAATTGTGTTTCCATTCTAAGTGGGGAACCAAGAGAGAGACCCACCCCTTTTCCATGATTCATAACTGAACCTACATTTTTAAATCCAATGTCCTCTATTTTTTCCTTTCCCTTGCAGTTATTTCTGGACGTTGTAGAATTGTTTGAAGAGTTACATAGATAAGAACCAACATTTCTTGGTACCTCACCTTCTTTTCTTCCTTCAGCTAAGCAATTTTTTGATCCACCATGTGGAAATGCCATTTCAGGAATTTGGTTGTACATATTCTGTCCAGTTAAATCTAGAATCTCATGGCCTTCTTGGAATCCAGATGATTTAGGAGGGAACTTAGAGCAACAAGCTTTTCCTTTATCCATGTATTGCTCTCTAATGGAATTCCTGATTCTCTCCATTGCTGTTTTCATAAATACAGGAGCATTTTCATGAGCTTTCTCTAGCGGGGATAAGACTATGGTGTTTTTCCAACGCTCATTTCCATCAACACAGTCTGAAAGTTTTCGAGGGTGTATATAATATTTTCTGTTGCACCCATTCTCAGCTAGCAGCCTACCTCTGTCCCGTAGACTATCAAAAGATCCTTCACCTGCAGTAGTAGAACCTCCTAAATGACCAGCTACAGATATATTACTTTCCTTTTCAACATAATCTCCTCCATTCATTCGCCGTGAAGATAACCTATCAGGAGTGTCAGGTATGTCCACTACTGAATCAATGTCCAAGTCGTCCATTTTCTGTATCAAATAAAACATACAAGTCAAGCCTTGCCTTCACGTGCAGCTTCAAGTACACAACTATGAAATTGCATACAAAAATTCCTTTCCAAAGGCAGTTTAACAACATTATAGTCCAAATTTAAATGTTACCACTGCAAAAGTCACCTTTACATGAAGATCATTCAAGAGCAATGTAACCCGCCAAATAAAAAAATCAACACCTCACTTCCTACATTACTCTTTAGACTTTTTAAAAATGTTATTTAGTCCACAAGCAATACAAAAGTGGATAGAGAAAGTATTACATCAAAATTGCTCCTGTTGACAATTAATGCAACAACAATAAACAATCAAAAGTAACTGCTGACCAACGATTTTTACTTATAGAAGCAAAACTCACCCTTTTTTAGAACTTCAAGTTACAAAAACTGGGTCATATTCAATATAACTTTGAACACACTAAACATCCACATACCAAGCAAAGATGGAACCAAATTGCGATGCCGTTATACAATGAATACAAAAATGAAAAAAAAATTATAAGAAATCAAACTTGCTAGGAAAATATCACAATGAATAATTTAACATTGAAAGTAGACAATTTTTATGTGTATGTAGCAAAATTATTATCACTATGTATAAAACCCTGGCAAATAAAAATTTCTCATTCATTATATCCAGGCAATAACTATTCAAATACTGGCATGATTATAAATAAAAGTAAAATAAACCCCTAAAATTGAACATATTAGTTTAATTTCCACCAAATTCTAATTCTAATATTATTAAATTTAATTCCTTTGAAGCACCAGATATTAATAAAACAAAAAGGAATTTACATAGATACAGATAAAATAATCATACCAAAATTAAGACCCAAAAGCAAATTATTTGACAGTATGAGAGTGAATTTTTAAAAAAAATTTACATATTCAAGAAATAAAATAAATTAATAGACGATCAGAAAAGGGGAAAAAAAAAGAAGATAAAATCAAGAATTTTGACAATTAAAAATAAAAATAAAAATATATATTAAAAAAGTCGCTACCAGATTTTGATTTTTCCACTTTTGATGATGATTGGGATCGAAAGCGACGTAAATTCCAGAAGAAGTTGACTCATTCAAATCCCTAAGAAGGCAATGCCATCTCTGTCTCTTCTCTTAACAATTTGTTTCTGTTTCTCTTCAATTTTCCAGGGTCGGCAATTTGGATAACCCGGTTGGGGTCCGATCTAGGTTTTGTATAATTTGGGCTCCACCCGTTGCTGGACTAGTTAGAAACTAATAGCCCTGGTTTAGTTATCTGGCCGACTTCAAAGAGCATTGGCTTAAGTTGGTTGCAGCTGGGCTAACTGCTCCAATTTCTTTTTTTTTTTTTTTTAATTTAAAATCTTTATTTGATTCTCCGCCAGAAAAGTAATGCCGAGACAGTAAAAAATTCAAGCTCTCGAAATTTATTTTGTCAAAAATTATACCTACTAAAAATAAAGTCAAGGATGAATATAATTCTCATGCATTATATCATTTTTTATAAAAATAAATAAATGTTTTAAATATATTATTAATTATTTTTAATTTAGTTTAATTTAATAATTATATATTTTCTTTCATTAATTTTTTAGAAATTATAAAATAAAATGAAATAAAATATTTTTAATAAAATATATAACTTATTGAAATACCATAAGTATAAAAATGGAAGCCAATTTTAAAATTTACTTATAATTAATCAAAATAAATATATTTTATTAAATAAATTTATTTGATTAATAAAAAGAGTTAAAGTTGTATTAAATTTCAATTTCTTTATTTTCATAATTTAATTTTATATTAATGTTAAAACCAATAAATTTTATGTTAATATGATATATTTTTCAAATAGGACAAACTTTACATATTAATATACAAATTTTATTTATTTTTATATAATTATATATTTATATAAATTATTATTTAAAATAAATAAAAAAAATTCACACATTAGACATGAGACAACAAATATTAGTATATATCAGAAAATGGTTAAACATATATTTGCCCATAAATTATACTACTTTTATCACGTTGGTTTGTAACAAAAGTGTCAAGTCACTTTTTTTTTTTTAACTTGAAAAAAATAAAAAAAATAATTTATAATGGTGGGGTTCAAAAACTTTTTTTAAAATATTTATTTATAAAACATATAAAATAACATCCATAAATTTATTAATTTTATAGATTAAAAAAATTATTTAAAATAATATTTTAGATATTAAAAAAAATTTTAAATATTTTTAGTTTTTGAAATTTTATAATTGGCCAAAACAAAAATTTAAGAGCATTGAAGGGAAATATTTTCTTTAAATTTCCTTTTTTTTTTTTTAATTTTTTAGGTGTCCATCATATCATTTATATCTGTTACTGGATCGACGGTGACTTGTCTCCGACAACTAAATTAATGGCGATTTGGCTTATCTCAGCAAAAACAATATCGATCTAATTGGTCAAGATAGATCGATATTAATCTGATACGTTCAACCGATTGTCGTGGGCATCGACCTTCCACCTCGCCCCTCTCCCACCATTCTCTCTTTCTTTCCTGTCACTTTTTCCCTTGCTTTCCATTGTTCTTCCGTTTTTATTTTTATTTTTATCTTTTTTTATTTAAAAAATTTGTTATTCTAAATTGGTCCAAAGCCCAAAAGCTACAAAAGTAGATGAAATGATTATTTAGCCCTATTAATTTTGATATTTACTAGTATTAAATAAATTTTTAATAAATTAGTATTTAAATTATAGAATATGAAAAGTTATATATTAATTAATCATCCAAAAATAAAAGATTTGAAATATAATATATATATATATAAACTTTTCATATTATCCTAATCATTGAATTTAATTAAAATAGTAAAAAAAAAAACCAAAAGATATTATGTTATTAATTTTAATCTTTTCATATTCAATTTAAATTAAAATATTGTTCATATTCTACTAATCATTAAATTTAAGTGGAATAATAGGAGACGAATTTTTTTATAGTTAGGAGATAAAAAGAAACAAAACATTATAATAAAAATGTTATTTTACTAACTATTGAAAAAAAAAAAAAATATATATATATATATAACAATTCCATTTGAATTTTTTTCATATTTTACTAACTATTGAACCTAACTAAAATGGTTGAGGACATGAAAAATTAAAAAATGTTAGTATATTAATTTTAATATTTTTATATTGTATTAATTAATTATTTTAAAATAAAGTTTGGAAGGAAAAAAAAAGAATATAATTCAAATTTAGTTGAAAATAATAAAATGTGTTTGATTTTGTATTCTTTGTACTAATAATTATTTATGATTTTTGTAATTGATGTACTCATTTTATAATTATTTACTTTTTATTTGTGATTTTTGAACTCTCTTATTTAATTCATGCATAGAATTTTTTAAATAAACCTATGTATAGATTTGTTGCAATGGTAGATGGTGAGGATTTTACTCCACTATTTTTTCTTTTTCTTTTTCTTTTTTTTTTTTTTTTGTAAATTTTATGGTGATGCTACAATAGATATTATTCTTTCCTAACTTTTTCCTTCTGTATAATTTTTATTTATTTATTTTATATATTTCTTGAATTGTTTTTTACTTTTTATATTTATTCCAACAAAGTAGCATGAATCGATTGTGTTTTGAAGAGTTACTCTTTTAAATTTTAACATATATATATATATATATATTATCTAAGCATTTTTAAATAGAGCAAAAAGTTTTAATATATAAAAGTATAATATATATATATAAATACATATGTTAAAAAAAATTTATTGAAGAAAATTAAATCTTTGCTCATTTTATTTATCGTTTCAAAAATATTATTTTATTATAAATATTAATGAGATTTATTTGATTTATAAATAAAAATTCTAATTCCATTGAAAAAGTTTTATTAAATAATTTTATTTGATAAATAAAAAAAAAAGAGTTAAAGTTTATACTAAATTTTTTTAACCTTAGAATTCTAATTTTACATTAACATTAAATTCCATTGCATAAAAAATCACAGCTTAATGATAAAAATAAGAATTATAGGTACTAAAATCTCACTGACTGGATGCCATTATATTTTTACGCATGAGAGAAATTTTACATATTAATATAAACTTTGATTAATATGTATTATATTAATTTTTTGGAATATAATATATTTATTAATTTCAGTTATTTGTATAACACGAAATACTATGATCAATATATAGCATAATTATTTAAAATAAAATAAAAATATTTACCTACATTGCAAGTGACAATAAGTATTAAGTAAAAGCAAAAATAATTACAATATGTATTACCTGAATTCATAATAAACTTTACACATGATCGTCAGACAATAAATTGAATATAATAAATACATAAAAATACTAAAGAAATTTTAATGGAAAATTAATGGTTTTAACAAAAGATACATAGTTAAGTACCCACCCCTATCATCTTTTAACCAACCAATTGCTCGGTTGCATCAAATTCAATACACCAAGCAGGCCACCTATCCCCATGGAAACCTCTTAAAGAAGGGAAAATGGAGATTCAGATTGAGGAAAAGAAAATGGAGACAGTAAACAGGTTCTCCAACTAACATTGAAAGGATCATCATTGTCAATTGAGGTGGTTTTCATACCAATTGCTTAATGATACAAAAATTTATCATTGCAGATCACTTAAACATTTCTTTTAAGACTTAGCAAAACAAACAACAAATCAAAAGCACCTGGTGGAAAGAAAATGAAAACCGATGCCCGATATGAGCTAATCGTAGTTGAAGAGCAGGATGGATAAGTGGATTGAGCTACAAAACACCTCATGCATCACAATCTGGGCTTGTCCTTTCGGCGATTGCCTATTCATCGGTTACACACCCCTTCGAAGCTGGTTGCACGTTCTTGATGTACTGAAAATGAAAAAGAGATGTTCATTTAGAGATCTATCATTAATATGGCAAAACATAGTTCCAATGCAGATTATCATCCCCACCTTAAGCAAAACTCCTTTGTTAGCCTTATAAGGAGGTGGAGTCCACTTCTTTCTCCGATCATTTAGTTCATCATCTGTTAACTCAACATTTACGGCCCTCTTTTGAATATCAACGCTGACGAGGTCCCCGTTTTGAATAAGACCGATGGGGCCACCCTCCTATAAAAACGAACCCGACATTGACCATCTATTTGTGTCAAGGGAAGGGAGCAATTTTATATGATATAAACTTTTTTGGAGGTTAAAATATTATTATAAGCATATGGGTTGATGTCATGGATGAGCTTTGAATTATAATGAAAATATCCAAACTCAATGTGATACTTGAACTATAAATATCTCTAATATGATATTTAAATTATAAATCTGTTAATTAATGTGGTACTTAGAGAGCTATTTGTCAACCATATGTCATTATTTGAAGCTAACGATGTTAAGGATAAGTATCATATTAATTAACATATTTATTGTTCAGGTATCACATTAAAGATTTTTAAAATTCAAGTACCATATTGAACATTTCACTATAATTCAGAGATTATTCGTGACATCAACCCTAAACTGTAAATAAAGATGAATAATATAATCAGAGGCATAGGAGTTCGATTAATAATTACTATATTGGTATCTAATTTGAACATATTTTATCTCTCACGTGAATGGAAATTTGTTCATCTGTCATTTATTCTAAAATTTTCAGAACTTCAATTTTGTCCAATATGCAGGATAAAGCATATCTTTATATCTAAGAAAGAAAAAAACATTAAAAAGATCATAAGGACTAAAATGCAAAGTTTTAGTCTTTCATTGAAGGCAAATTATCTTGCAACCCGTGAAATTAGAAAACAATGCACCTGTGCTTCTGGGCATATGTGGCCTACAACGAATCCATGTGAAGCTCCAGAAAATCTACCGTCAGTGAGCAACGCAACATCCTGCACTATTCACTCACAACAATCAAATCAAATACACTTTGAAGGGAACAATATTTACATCAGCAGTTAGAAAGATGTAATTCAAGTTGAAAAGAAACTGCAGAGATGATAAAATGAAAGCACCAAAAGGTATAGGAAAGTTTTAGGATTCTTCAAACACCAAGGCAAGCAACTTATTCTGCTTCCAGTAATAACAAGATTGAGATCTTGCATTTTTGTTTTTTTTTGCAAAAGTATAGAATAAAATCTTTATGGATAAATTAACAAAATTGATGGGCCACTGGTGGCAAACTACTCAGAGGCAGATCCACATGTATAGGTAGACACCCTCAAAGATTGAAAAACAATAAAATTTTAAGAAAAAAATTTCCTTGGACACCACCAAAATTTTCCCCTAGACACCCTTTCTGTTGATAAAATTGGTAAATTTGTAAATTGTTTTTCATATATATTATAAGCGGACATCCTCCAAAAAAATCTTAAATCCGCCATTGAAAACACTTGGAGTTAATATCACAAATACCTTCCCAAGACCTGCGCCCGTTATTGCACTTGTTGGTGTCAACATTTCAGGCATACCTGGGCCACCCTTGGGTCCCTCACCTCTAATAATTACTACTTTTCCCTGGAAATATACGAGCAAAGGCAACATTCAGATTTTAGCAAACGCAAATGGATATGTAAGGAATGCATATTCAAACTCAAATTCTTGATTCAAATGTACTCAACAATATTCATCCAAAAGAACATCATAAGAAACGATTTGGTAAAATATTATATGTATCAAATTATGCAGATAATGAGTAAGCATCAATGAAGAACATAGCAGTTGAAGGATGTAATAGGAAAAGGGAAGGCCCAATCTCTTAAAAGGCAATCAAAACATATTTTACTCAAAAAACATAAGATGACTCTGTAATAGTACTGTTAAAGTTGAAAAATATATGGGAAATCAATGATCACAAATAGATAATTTGTCGTGTTATGGATTCTTAAGAGAATTTTCAACTTTTTCTTAAACATATGGTTCAATTTTTTATCTTTCTTAGAGTGGTTTTAATAATTTAAGTACTTGTGATCACATTCAAATGATGTACTTTTACTTATTAAAACTCAAGACTTAATATGTGTCATGACATATCGAGACCTAGAGATGGGTGACTCAAAAGTTGAATGAATGGAGAAATTTGAAAAAATGAGGGCTAAAAATATTTTTGATAAAAACAAAACAATGAGTCACCCCCAATCTTTTTTAAAATATGATTAGCCACCCAAAACTTTTAGTCTTTTTAACAAAGCATTTAAAATGAGTTTAAAAGTTTTATAAAAAACAAATTTATGGTATGCAAAATCATATTTTGATGTGGGAGTCGATTACGTATGGAGAAGAATTAACATCTTTACAAAGCCCGTAAAAAACGATGCCAATTTATTGAATGTTATACTTTTGAATTTTGGTTAAAATAGTCTTATTTTACTTAATGTTTAAAATTAATTCCTCTTCATCTTTTTTTTTTAATAAACAAAAATAAATAAAAAAATTTCTAAAAAAAAAACAAAACCTTTTTTTTTACTTTTGGTTCAAAATGAAAACACTTTAAATATCGAAACACTTCTTTCACTATTCTATAATTAGGTAGAGTTTAAAAAAAAATTTTAATTTAAAGGTTTTTAAATTATCACATAAAATCGAGATAATACCTCTCATAAATAATAATCACCAAGAGTCTTTTAACCAAATCTTAATGACTATATTTATTTGAGATATTATCTTATTTTAAAACATTTTTCTTTGAAAATCAATTTTTGAAAACAAATGCATAAAATGCATGAACATAATAAAATATGATGAATGCATGACAATATGACATAAATGATAAAGTATATATGCATGACAATATAAAGAAGCATGTAATGACAAGATAAAGTGAAATGCAAATGCATGATTAGTTTTGAGGGTTAGTTTTGGGGTTTACAATTTGGGATTTAAGGTTTGGTTTAGGGTTTAGAGTTTGGTTTAGAATTTAAGATTTAGGGTTTTAAGAAATTTAGGTTTTTATGAAAATAGACATGTGATAAAAGCAAAATACAAAAATGCTATTAATGAATGTACGTGCAAAAAGTATGACATGAAAAAAATAATTACAAACCAAGATATTTACAAAATGAAATTACAGACATGTTGTGCATGAAAAATCAAGGGGAAAATGTATCAAACACAATAATTTTTCAAACTTTTAGAAAATGCTCCACCACTTTTTTTTTTTTTTAAAAGCCAACTAAACAAACACCAAAACCATCTAAACAACCTACTAAAACAACATTTTATTCATAGAAAATTTCACTCAACACCTTAAAAACTTGAAAAACATAGCAAGAACACAATCAAACACGTGGGATCAAGCAATATGTGATCACAAAATGAAGAGCAATATTCGGCCAAACAAGGTAACCAACTTGACCAAAAGTTTTTATGGTATTCTCACCGAACATTTATCACCTCATTTAAGTAGAATATGCATGAAACATTCATAAAACCATGCTAGAATATTATTTTAATCATGTATGACCATTTGACAAACATGTAACAAACTCATAAATTTACAAAAATCATGAAAATATAATCACAAGCCAAACACTACTAATGACTTACCAAAATTAACATCAAATGTGTAGTAAACAAATAAACCAACTGATCAAAGCTTCCATCTATATGATTTAAAACAAAAGCACATTCAAAGTAAGCCAAGACCATATTCGGCCATGGTGTAAAATGCTTGACCGACCTCCAAATATTAGGTATTGTTTAATATGCTGAATAGATTCAACAATGAAACATTAAGTATTGAAGTTTTAGCAATGAAAAGTTTTTAAGTATTGAGTTTATGATATAAAATTATTTGGTATACTACTGAAAATGAAATCTTTATAGATTTTTTATTTATTTTTGTAAAAGAGAGATACAAGTTCATATTTATTTTCAACTTGTAAAAATTAAAAAGGGAATAATAAATTATTAAAAAAAAGGATATAAGATTAATGTAATAAAATTGACTCAATATATTAAGTAGCTAAAAAATACTTAATATTTTGTATGCTTTTACATTGAAAATATTCCATTAAGTGGCTTTCAAAGGTAACCAGACTTACTAAAAAAAAATAAAATCATTCAAATTTAAATTTTTAATAGTTTATCAAACACAACCATACTTGATAATTTTTACTCCCAATATAAATTTCATCAGGCTATAAAATGAGCTAATTAATTAAGTTGCCTTTGTAATTTCAAGTTCACATGCATCTTTGTTTTTAAGTTAAAATTATCATTCCATATTTTATAGTAAATCTTATCGATATGAAGTGTCATTAATCTTAATAAGCTAGATTAATTGTTAATTTAGTTTTGTTATAAAAGAAGTATATTTGTAAGTATCTTAGCTGAAAATTGTAGTATTGAAGTTTGATGTGGTAAGTGAAAACGACCTAAATTTTGGAAATCATGTTTCGTGTGGATGAATTGTTTGATTAGGCAGGGTCAAAAGTTGGAAGGAGAGATAGATGCACCAAACTCAAGTGTCACGTGGCAGCCAGCCTTAAGAAGTGGTTGAGGGCTTAAGGCTAATAGCATTGGCTCATGCACGTGATTCTTAGGTACCCGCCTCTTAATCTTATTTATAGCACCAAACGCTTTGCAAACTTAATTTGTAACACTTCCTTCTACCACTCATAGTAGCTAGTCCAATACCATCAGCAGCAGCACCACCAGTTCCGCCATCGGCTGCTGGGTTGTTTTCTTTGAAGAGAAAAAAATGGTGACCGTCGAGGAAGTTCGTAAGGCTCAACGTGCCGAAGGGCCAGCCACCGTGTTGGCGATCGGCACGTCAACTCCACCAAATTGTGTTGACCAGAGCACATACCCTGATTACTATTTCCGTATCACAAATAGTGAGCACAAAACTGAGCTGAAAGAGAAATTCAAGCGCATGTGTAAGTTTCTTTTCTTTTTTTCTTTCAGTTCTAGAATTTTAGCTAATATTATATTGAAATTTAAGGTGATTTGGTTTTTCACGCGTGATTTTAGCATGAAAATAGAAATGGAGATGAGGGATGCGCATGGTTCATATCATTCTCATTTTAATGAGAAGTTGGAATCTCTTTAGGTTAACTTGATAATTAAAGAATGATAATACGATATTTTGAGGAAAATCGTAGACTGTTTGGAAAAAGTTACCAGTAATAGATGAAGTCCGAGATTCGTCTGATTAATGCGGACTTTTACAGCTTTTTGCATCTTTCTTTTTGTTTATTGGTGCACGTGTTTTGAAAGACATGAAAACGTGCATAAAACAAATTTATAAAAATGGAGAAAATAAAATACTACACCTTTTTTTAATCAAACAATATTAGTATGTAAATTTCATTTTTTTTTTCAAATTAAGGGAAAAAATACTACAGGATGAAAAACTTCGTTGGTTGATGATGGAAAGCAAAATCAAAGTAGTAATCGTAGTAGTAGAAATTAGAAACCCATGTTGGTTTCCCTTGGGAAACTTTTGTGTGTCGGACAAAAAATAACGAATGTGGGGCTGTGCTTTTATGAGAAAGTGACAGAAATTAAAATATTTTATCTGAATTATTATAATTTGCCTCTATCAATTGGTGATTGAGCTTTCTATTGCACTGCTGTCAGCTTTGGAATAAAGAATCTATTTTATAAAAAAAATCTATTTATTGGTAATTTATTGCAAACGGATTTATAAGTAAAGTTGGCACAAGATTATGTATACATATTTCATAAATATAAATTGTACACATTTTTTTAAAATTAAAACTTAGAAACTTTCCATTCAATCATGATAGATCCATATATTTTTTATTAAAAACGTTTTTTAACTCGAAAGTTGAATTTACCAAATAAAATGGAAAATGCAAAAGCTTTTTTCTTTTCAGTCCAATAAAAATAACTAGACCCACAAAAATGGGACTATGCTTGCAACTACAGCGGTCACCGATAAAAAGCGTGAGTGGAGGATATTGCATTGCATTAATAAAAAAAAAAAATCCAAGGGTAATAAGTAGTAAAAGATTGCGTTATGACCCAGAAAAAAGATAAAAAATGAATTGTATCCAAAATGGGGAACCATTGACCAGCCATGTTTATTGGATTCTCTTCTATTGTCAGAAAAATGAAGTTGGAAAAAGTTGTTGGTATGACAAGAAAACTAATCTTCTTCTTCTTCCTTTTTCAGGTGAAAAATCCATGATCAAGAAGAGATTCTGAAAGAAAACCCCAATGTATGTGCCTACATGGCACCTTCACTTGATGCCAGGCAGGACATGGTGGTGGTTGAGGTTCCAAAACTAGGCAAAGAAGCAGCCAGCAGGGCCATTAAGGAATGGGGACAGCCCAAGTCCAAGATCACCCACCTTGTCTTTTGCACCACCAGTGGTGTGGACATGCCTGGGGCTGACTACCAGCTCACCAAGCTTTTAGGCCTCCGCCAATCGGTTAAGCGACTTATGATGTACCAACAAGGTTGCTTCGCCGGTGGCACAGTGCTCCGGGTGGCCAAGGACTTGGCTGAGAACAACAAAGGAGCCCGCGTCCTCGTTGTTTGCTCCGAAATTACTGCCGTTACCTTCCGCGGGCCTAGTGACACTCACCTCGACAGTCTCGTGGGGCAAGCATTGTTTGGTGATGGTGCTGCTGCTGTCATAATTGGTGCAGACCCAGTGCCCGAGATCGAGAAGCCATTGTTTGAACTAGTCTCAGCGGCCCAAACAATCTTGCCAGACAGTGATGGTGCTATTGATGGTCACCTTCGTGAAGTTGGGCTTACATTTCACCTCCTCAAGGATGTTCCGGGGCTTATTTCGAAGAACGTTGAAAAGAGCCTAGTTGAGGCATTCCAGCCTTTGGGCATCTCTGACTGGAACTCCCTTTTCTGGATTGCACACCCTGGTGGGCCAGCAATATTGGACCAGGTAGAAGCCAAGCTAGCCCTCAAGCCGGAAAAGCTACGAGCCACAAGGCACGTTCTTTCGGAGTACGGCAACATGTCAAGTGCTTGTGTCTTATTCATTTTGGATGAGATGAGGAGGAAATCGAAAGAAAATGGGCTTCAGACCACAGGAGAAGGGCTCGAGTGGGGAGTCCTGTTTGGCTTTGGACCTGGGCTCACAGTTGAGACCGTTGTGCTCCACAGTATCTCTGCCTAAAGAGATTCTCCTCTCTAAAATTGCCCTGCATTTTTATTTTATTTTTTTAGTTTATTTGGGTTTTTTTCATTTCCTTCGAATTTGTATGGTTATTGTGGGAGAGCCAAACTCTCTGATGCTGTGGGTTTGTTGTGGACTGGAAGCTTAACGGCGATAGAATTCATTTAGCAACTTTTATTGTGGCAATAATAAGTTCCCACTTCATCATTGTCTTGCCTATGTTATAAAAAACCATCTTTTTTTTTTTTTTTCACTTCATAATTTACATTACCACGGGGGAAAGAAAAATAGAAAAAAAATTTATAAAATAAGTTATAATCTGAAAATATGGGAAGAAATTAAAAATATTAAGATTTAAAATTTAAATTTATCAACTATTATCTTTTAAAATAATTATATAATTTAATTAAATGAAACTCGAATTTATAAAAAAAATAATAATTATTTAATGCATAATACAAACAAAAATTAGGTTATAAAAATCACTCAAGAGTATATAACTTCAGTTTGTGATTTTCTCCATTCCAAGTCCCTTTTCTCTCTATCTTGAAACAAACTATTTTCATGATTTATAGGAAGGAGTAGAGTGGGGGAGCCGTTCTAAGTGGAATAGGAATTTAGAAGAGATAGTAATATTAATAAAGGACCCACTCACCAAATGTAGGACTAGGAGTCTAGGATCCCTTCCCGATCACTAATATATTTATAGGGATTTATATTTTATACGTTATTAATATATAAATTTTATATATTATCAATTAATCGGATTATGATATTTTATTAATGAAATAAATTAAATAATATTATTTTATTAATAAATAATTTTTAAAAAAAAAATTTAAATTTTTATATATTTATTTTAAAAATTAATATTCACCTTTTAATGAGATGATATAATATGATTAATTGATCATGTATAAAATTTATATATAAATAATATATAAAATATAAACTCATTTTTATAGATAATAATATAAGTACGAAAATCATTATGAGTAGCTTAACTAACGAGTAAAGAAGAAAAACTAACAAAAAAATTGTGAACATTAAAATAGTAATTAAAATTTAAGTACCATACCTAATAATTTTTAAGAATTTGGTGTAACCAACTCCTTACTATAAAGATAGTGGTGCATGCCTCGTTTGGAAGAAAAGAAAATGTTATCTCTTTAATGATGGAGACATGCTCTGGAAAATTAAATGGATGATAAATAATTTTAGTTAATGGATATCGAAAATGATTGAATTTTTTAGGGTTCTATCAATGAAATGATACTTACGACGTAATATAAATCTTTCTCATCACGCATTGAAAATATCTTAAAGCATTCAATTAAGAAAAATAGTTCCAAATTGGCTTATATTTTGAGTTCATTGGGTGTTAATATTTCGTATTCCAGATTTTTACTTTACATTTTAAAATTCAATTTAGTTGATATCCCCTTCCAATCTTTATGAAAGATATGACAAATTTATTAAATTTTTTTTACGGGTTTAGTAATTACCGTAAGGAATTTACAGTAAACATAACTTTTTTACCTTGAAGCATGCTAAAACAGATGGCAACTAAAGGCCTCTTTATTCACGAAACTAGCATCTTAAAGGGAAAATGTTTATAATCTGTTCCTAAGATTCTACTGCTTCAATTGAAATTTAAAAGAGTCACAGTAAGCATTCCATGAAACAAAAAATTTCCTTACTCCTCTCCTTTGTATGACTTTTTTTTTTTCATAAAACTCTAGTGGTGACAAATTCTAGTTTGGTTTCATTGAAAAAAAAAGCCATTCTAGTTTGCCGAACTAATTAAAGAAAATGTTGTGAGTATATACATCTTTTTTATTGATCTAGATAAATAGAAAAATTTTCCCATTGTAATCTGTTTGGAAAATTGCAATGCCAAGAAGCATTGATTTCTATTTGTCTTCTTTACCATGACTAAATCAAACAAAATTCATATTTCTCATATATAATTAAAAAAATTTAATTCAATTGATTCATATAATTATTTTTAAAAAATAATATCAAATAAATATAAATTTTAAATATCAACACTTAAGATTTTTTTATTTTTAAATTATAATATCTTTTATAAAAAAATATAAATTTATTTGCTACATATTGTCGGAATAGTTTGGTTACTAAAATGGTTTAAAAAGGTTTAACAAAAAAAAAATATTTAAGATAAAAGTGTAATCGATCGAATTTAAGTCGATATAATATTAAATTTGAGTTTAAGTTTGATTCGAAATTCGAGATTTAAAACTCGACTTGAACTCGATTAAATTTTATTTTTTTAGCTTGAACTCGACTTGAAATAAAAATTGAGTTACTGAAATTTGTTTGATTTAACTTGATTAATATATAAAAATAAACTCCATTCTTATATTTGATAAAAGTTAATTATTTATACTCGAATTCGAGTTTAAGTTAGAGATATTTTATTAATTAAAATAATTAAAATTTATTAAAATATAAAAATTTGATTAAGCTGACGAGTTATTCGAATTTGATATAAAAATATTTGAACTCAACTTGATCAATAAATTGAATTACTCAAATTTAAATTTGATTTAATATTGAATTTAAATTTTATTTGAATTAAACTTGAATAACTTGTGAATATTAATGTATAATTTACAAGTGAAACAAAATCATTGAAATTAATCAACCGGTTGCCTGCAACAAGAGTCGGATAAAAATGAGGAATCGATTGCTCCAGTAGTGGCCATCATACTTTGCTATTTTCTATAGTGGTGTAAATATGTCATAGCTATGATTTTTCATGCCAAAAAAGTGTCTATTTTATTAGCATTTTGCCATCATCATCGTCATCGTATTTGGCAATTGAGTACAAATTCTAAAATGGTTGCAAATCTGTCTTTAGTTTTTAATTTAGCAATTAAAAAAGTTTGAGAAAATATGTAAAATAAAAATTTGAATCTCATTATTTTCATTCTTACCTTTTATAAAGTAAATTAAAAAAATTTATCTTGCAATTTTCTTTTGATGAAAAAATAAAAAGGAGGAAGATAAAAATTTCAATATAATGCTTTAAATCAAATTAAGCACAAGGAGGGCAACATATAACGCATTGATGTCCTAAAGTGGCAGTAATCCAAAGTCATTTCGAGCATTAGTGGGATAAAAATAAATTTGATAATTTAAAATACGATGTAATATAAAATATAAAAATAATATCCTTATAATTACAATAATAATTATATATATTTAATAAAAAAATTTATATTTATATTTTTATAGTATATAAATTATAATATATAATTTTGATATAAAATATAATAAAAATACATAAATTTTAATATTTATATAATATAAATATATAAATTATCAAATATAAATAGAAGCGAGATTAATCACCTTATAAAATTGAGTTATTATAATCCATTTGGATAAAATGTTGTTTTAGAGCATAAGTGCAATAAGATCAATATCTTCTTAAATAAATGTATGATCGAAGTTTTTTTGTTTAATTTGTTTAAATTTATTTTTTTCTCCACCAATCTTATGAATTCTTTTTAAGGATAAAGAAAAATAAACTCTCCCTTATTAAGTGTATTAATATTTGTGGATATCAAATTACATTTTATTTTGTCAATTCTATTTAATACATTTAAAGGCATTTTGCTTGCAAATCTTTTATTTATAATAATATAATTATTCAATCACAATAATAAAATATATAAAAGACTCATTAATTATAATATGAATTTTATGCCAAATTTTACATCATTTTAAATTATAATTAATTAATTATGATATAATAATTATAAATGATATATTTTTAATAAATTTTAAAATTGTTTCTTTGAAAACAATACATCCAAACGGACCCTATATTGATGGGTGCGGTTAAAAACTCTGATAATAAGACAACATGCTCTGCAGGACAACGAGGCTGCTAACTACTATTTGAAAGCAGTAGCTGCCAGTGGGCTAATCAATTTCAAAACATTCATAACTTCTCCTAATTTGGCAGTTTCTGAATTAATTAACCGTTTGCCATAAAATATTTAGCAAATAAATATTTTTCACTAACCAATCATTTAATTATCACTATTATTTAAAAAATAAAAAAGGAAATAAGAAAGCAAGTTGCCCTTTTTTCCTGGCTCATATGCCAGCCCCTGACACATTGGACGACCCGCTCTCTTTCTCTGACTCTCCTTATCTTTTGAGAGAAAGGTTAAAAATTAAATAAAACAAAACCAAATAATCATTAAAAAGAAAAACAAAAATTGAAAAATTTCTTTTCTCTTTCCTATTTCTCCCTCCTACCCCAAACTACAAAACCCACGTTCACAAAAATCCCATTTTCAAAATTTCACATTTTTAAAATCCTTCTTCAACTTTGTACAAAAAGGAGTAACTGTTGGTACTTTTCCTTTCGGTTTTTGGTTTTTTTTTTTTTTATAAATACTTCTCTTTTTATTTTTTTTGGTTGGGTTTCTTCAAAGCTGGGATTTCGTTTAGTTTTTTGTATAGCTATTCTTTTCTTTGATTCTTTGCCCATCATTTTTTTTCTTCACTTATTCACCAGATTCCCCACCTGGGTTTTTTTTTTTTAAAGTTATTATTATTATTATTATTATTTTGTTTCACACAATCACATGCATGTTCTTCAGTTTGTCTAATCTGGATTGGATCACAAGGTTCGTTTTTTTCTTTTCTTTCCTTTTCTACTTTGAAGAAGAGTTGGAGAGAAAGAGAAAGGGAGGGGTCTTTGGTGGGGTTAACTGCTTGAAAAATCTCTTCTTTCTTTTTTGGGAGCAATCTTTGGTTGCTTAGAAGAAAAGAAGAAAGAAAGAAGGTGAGATTTTTTTTCTTTCTTCCTTTTTTGGATCTCTATTGGGTCCACCAAAAGAAGATTCTTCTTCTTTTTTTCCTTCTTGGTTCTGTTCTGATAGTTACAATAGCTGTCTACTATTGTATTTCCATGAGGATAGAATTTGAATTGGGTTTGATTGGTTTTTGGCCAAAATTGCAATGTAATGCTCATTCTTGTGAAAAATTATGAATTTTTTTCCCTTTGCTTGAATTCGTTGGGTTGTAGGGGGGTATTGTCTATTTCTGCTGTGCTTGCATTATTGAAGGCTTTTGTGTTGAAATTGAGTTTTTTTAGTGTTGAATGATTGAAATTGGCTTTCAATAGGAAAAGCTAGTCTTGGGGTTGATAGCATATTTTGACTTCTGACGCATGGCGGGTATGGATGTTTCAAAGTATGCACATAGCGGAGTGCACAAGGCTGTTGCCATGAGGGATTGTGCCAGTCTCAGGAGGATACTCGCATCTCTCCCACGTCTTGGTAACCCGGCTGTGATTCGAACAGAAGCTGCGTCATTAGCTGAAGAAGAGAAGGCTGATGGGATCTCTGCTGTGATTGATAGGCGGGATGTTCCTAACAGGGATACCCCTCTTCACTTGGCTGTTAAACTTGGTGATGAAACTGCAACCGAAATGCTTATGGTTGCCGGTGCTGATTGGAGCTTGCAAAATGAACAGGGATGGAGTGCACTCCAAGAAGCAATTTGTAATAGAGATGAAGCTATTTCTATGATTATTGTTCGACATTACCAGCCATTGGCATGGGCAAAATGGTGTAGAAGGTTGCCTCGCTTGGTAGGAACTATGCGAAGGATGAGAGACTTTTACATGGAAATCACATTCCATTTTGAGAGTTCTGTGATACCTTTCATTTCCAGAATTGCTCCTTCAGATACATACAAAATTTGGAAGAGGGGTGCAAATCTGAGAACTGATATGACTTTGGCTGGATTTGATGGATTCAGAATTCAGCGTTCAGATCAGAGTATTCTTTTCCTTGGTGATGGCTCCGAGGATGGGAAGGTTCCTCCTGGATCACTTTGTATGATTTCACACAAGGATAAAGAGGTGATAAATGCTTTGGATGGTGCTGGTTCTCAAGCAACTGAGGAAGAGGTTCGACAAGAAGTGGTTGCAATGTCTCAGACGAATATATTCAGGCCTGGGATAGATGTTACACAGGCAGTTCTTTTGCCACAATTGACATGGAGGCGACAAGAGAAAACAGAAATGGTTGGTGCCTGGAAGGCTAAGGTGTATGATATGCACAATGTTGTTGTTAGCATCAGATCTAGGAGGGTGCCCGGGGCCATGACAGATGATGAGTTCTTTGCAACTTCCAATGAAAATGAAACAGAGAGTGAAGATCTTGATGAGATCTTGACAGAAGATGAAAGGAAACAACTTGAAGTCGCTCTTAAGTTGGATTCTTCAGAAATATCCAATGAGAATGGTGATGGCATTATCGGGCATTGCCATATTTGTTATGAGTCTAGGGAAATTTCTATTGCTGAGTCCAATGGTTATAAAAACGGGGAGACTAAGCAGGAAAAGAAAGGATGGTTTGGTGGATGGAGGAAATGGGAGTCGAAGCATGAAGTGCAGAGGAAGATTGTGCCACCAAGAAGTTCTCTCTGTGTAGATGAAAAGGTGAGTGACTTACTAGGAGACTCTCCATCTGGTAGTCAGATCAAACCTGGTAGACATTCTGCGGAGATTGTGGTAAGGGATGATCATCGGAGGATAAGAGATTCAAGAACATCTACTTCAAGAACATCTACTTCCATGAGTTCAGAGAGTGGTAATCGACGCAAGGATAGTGGCCGTCAAAACGAGTATAAGAAAGGATTGAGGCCTGTTCTTTGGCTTTCTCCAAACTTCCCACTGCAAACTGACGAACTCCTGCCATTGCTAGACATTCTTGCAAACAAGGTCAAGGCAATTCGTCGGTTAAGAGAATTGCTCACTACAAAGCTTCCAGCAGGAACCTTCCCAGTCAAGGTATGTTGCTCTTTCACTGTCCGATTGGATCTTGTTATGGTTGCTATTCCTTTTTACAGTTCATTGAGTGAAACTCTGTGCCTTTTGCTTTAACATTATTTATCTTTATTGGTCAGATTTATGTTGATTCCCGTACTGCATATGTTATAATGACCATATTTTTTTTTCTGCCTTTTCTTATGGTGGTTTGGTCTTGCCACTTGTCAATTGCGGGAATACATTTCCATCCAGAGAGATGTGTGTTTGGGAAGTATGGGTTTTTGAAATCTTAGAGTGATCACCTGTACAAGTAAATGATTTTTGCTTGGTGTTTTGAAGCTTGCTTATCTGAAATTGCGATCTTCTAGATTAGAGCTTTTAGTGAATTATCAGGAAAAATAGATGCTTTTCTAAATCAAGATGTTGGAATCCATTTGATCTTGTAGAAGCCACATTGGGCTTAACTTCTGTAGGGTTAAGTCTAGGATTTTGGTATCTGTGTGTCTAGTATAAGATCCAGTTTTTCACTTCCATTTATTGATGTGTAGAATTGCCTTCATTCTTTAATTTTAATCGTGCCATTGCATCATACTCATTCCTTGGTTTTTGGGCTTTTTGTAAAAGATAAAAGATAAAAATATGGGTGGTGGTAACACGCACTGAATGCTAGTCATTGCTGTAGTTATCCAGTAATGATTGGGAAATCCAAGAAAATAATGTTTATGAAATTTCTCTATAAGTTTTATGTTTGGCTTGCACATTTGAGCTTTTATTCCTCATAATATGGACACTTATTATGCTTTAATCTTCTTTAATTATTTTTCAATTATCATTAAAAGTTTTGAAAGGAACAACGTAAATAAAAATTTATATTGAAAATTTTCCTAGATACCCTCATACTTTGGTAGTATTTTAAAAATATTTTCTCACCTAGAGATTTCTTAAGAATCTCTACTCTGACTTCCTTAAAATTCATTTTCGGAACTTTCGTTTGCCTTTTACTTTCTTAATTAATACTCTAATTCTAATATTTAGTTTTGATTAAAATTTGTAATAAAATTAGTTGATCACAATATTAATCATCATGTATTATTCTCAATGTACAATAATATTAAAAAAATAGATAAGCAAAATTTTCGTATTAAATATTTTTCTAAATACTCTATTACTTTGGTAGTATTTTTAGAAAAATATTCAGTTAGAGACTTTAAAGAATCACTGCTTGGAATTTCTTAATATCTCATTGTCGGATAAAAATTTTTCTTTATCTTTACTTTTTTTATATTCTATGAACAAACACCATGAAAACCTTGCATTTTCTTCATTTATAAGTACATTTTAATCAACAACTATGAACCCTCAAGAATAAACATAAAATATAAGATAACTTACTGTAAAATGAATAAAATGACATGGAAACAGCCTCCAAAATCGCATATTCACATGGAGGATGAAAGGAAAGTAGAGGAAATACAAGTGATGTAAAGGGAAGGTCTTAAACTATCATGAAACCAAAGTAAAATAACATGAAACTAAATTAAAATAACAAGTAAATAGTAACAAAAACAAGCTCAATAAATAACATAAACAAAGGCTGGCAAAAAATAAAATCAAGTAGAATCATAGTTAAATAGCAAAAAAAAGGTTCAAGAGTCAAGCTATTTTGTTGCCCAATGATGAATAAGAGTCCTCAGCTATCAAAAGCTATCCTTCTCAACAAGAAACAAGCTCAAAGTAAAGTAATTTAAATTTGAAAAAATAGAAGAATCTAAGCTGACTGAAACAGGGAATTCCATGGATTAAGGTATAATGAACAAAGCTTAAACGAAGAACAATATGCAAGTGCTGGAAAATAACGTAAAGCTGAAATTTAAAAGCAACAAAATGAAGAAGAAAACAGCTAAAATGGAACCAAGAAACCAAAGCGAAGTTAACAAGAATGCTGCCTGCTATAGTGGTTTACAAAGAACCAAAAATGCAAGGATGAAGAAGGTTACCACAAGTTTCGGTTCTCCTTTGCTCGAGAGGTCCTTCATTTTTTTTGTTCTTTCTTCTCGTCTCCATAGTTTCCTTCCTCTTTTTTACCAATCGGTAGCCTTTCTCCCTAGCTATTTTTCTCATTTTCTTTTTGTTTTTTCTTCCTTCTCCTATTTGGCTTTCTTTCTTTCTAGCAGCTTTTTTCTCTTTTTTTTTCTTACATGTTTTTAGCTCCCCTTTCATCTAGCCTTTATTACAACTTCCAGCACCTTTCTCTCTTATCCAATTCGGTAGACACTTCCCAAAAAAAGATCTCAATCTTGGTCAATATAGACCTTGGATGAGATTTCATCCACAGGTCAAAGTTCTTTTTTTTTTTCTTTTCAAGGAATCACTTTTGGCCATTGAATCAAAATCAATAAAAGATCCAATGATCCACATTGTTCATTGCAAAGGTTAAATTTTTATGTCCTCCAAACCTATCAAAAAATTATTTTTCCTTTACTGCAAAGTTTTCAATATTTAGGCCATTTTTTTGGAAATCAATGTTCCGGTGCTCATTTTTTGGATTTTAAAACATCAAAAATCATGAAATATTATAAAATTGAAATCTGAAAAGTTTCATGAAAATCTGAGCTTGGGAAAGTCAAATTACGAAAATACTCCTATTGGGGTATTTTAGTAATCTCAAATTTCTCGGGGTACTGCTATGAGTTCAAATGCACTAAAAATCGTGAAAATATTATAAAATTAAGATATGAAAAGTTTCATGAAAATTCGAGTTTGGGAAGGTTAAATTACAAAAATACACTTATAGGGGTATTTTGGTAATTTCACATTTTTCGGGGTACTGCTGTGATTTCAAATGCATTAAAAATCATAAATATTATGAAATCTAAGGTTTTGAAAAAGTTTCATAAAATTTCAAGCTTGGGAAGGCCGTATTACAAAAATACACTTATAAGGGTATATTGGTTAATTTTGCACTTCTTCGAGGTGTAATGAAAATTTTAGTGTTTTAAAAAATCCTTAATTTAATTTTTAATCCATTGATTCCATTAGGTTTTGAATTTTGAGGATTGATTCTAGTTTTATTCATTTTGATAAAAGTTTTATGCAATTTTGATCAGAGTTGACTTTGGGGTTTACTCATTTCATTTATTCACTTGAAAAGTTATCATCCATATAAATCCAATGCGAAAGAGTTTGACAGTAATCATATGGTCTCTTTTTTTTTTTTTGGTTTATTAGGCCTAAATATCGATGCATTTTATGGTCTCTTTAAGGGGCCTTTTTAAGGGCATAGGTTAAAATGCTAAAATGTTTTGGACAAAATTTGGTGTCTACAGTTGCCCCTCTTTGCATATTTATGAGAATAAAAAATAATGTAAAGACATAGATAATAATTTTGTCCGGATGATGCTTTTGAGAGTTTTTTCTATTTTTGTTTGGGTTGTTTGTTTTTTTTTTTTTTTTTTTTTGTGAATTAACAAACTTGACCATTTGTAAACAAATTTAAATGAAAACTTAGTAACTTTTAGAAATAAAATAAGAGATCTTGCCCATGGGTCTTACAAATCTCGAAATTAAAAAAGATTCAGTTCGGAAGATTTATGAATCTTGTCTTGAAGACTTACAAATCTAAAAAATCTTTGAATACTCATCATAATAGAGGTGTTGAAACTTTGAAAATTTAAAATATTTTGCTCGGAGGTATTGGAAATTATATTTGGAGGTCTTTGAGATTATGCGCGGAGGCCTCACAAATCTTAAAAATCTTTGAATGCTCTTAGTAATAGAGGCGTTGAAACTTTAAAAATTTAAAATGTTTTGCCTAGAGCTCTTGGAAATTATGTCTGGAGGTCTTTGATTGCTTCCTATAAAAGAGGTGTTGAAACTTTAAAAATTTAAAATGCTTTGCCCAAAGGTCTTGGAAATTATGTCTGAAGGTCTTTAAAATTATGTGCGGAGGTCTTTGAATGCTCTTCGTAATAGAAGCATTGAAACTCTAAAAATTTAAAATGCTTTGCCTGGAGGTCTTTGAATGCTGCTTGTAATAGAGGTGTTAAAACTTTAAAAATTTAAAATGCTTTGCTCGGAGGTCTTGGAAATTATGTCCGGAGGTCTTTGAATGCTCCTCATAATAGAGGCATTGAAACTTTAAAAATTTAAAATGTTTTGCTTGGATGTCTTGGAAATTTTGCTCGGAGGTCTTTGAATGCTCTTTTCTAATAGAGACGTTGAAACGTATTTGGTTGCTAGCTTAATTGGACTTAAGTCTCATCTTCTTCTTTCTCATTTTTTCAACAATCCCTTTGCTTTTTGTAGGTAATTTTTGTTTCAACCTTTCAAGCTTTTTTGATATTTTAATCTCCTGTCAAACTATTTTTTTTCTTTTTCTCTTTTTCTCATGTTTTCATGATAGACTTCTTTATTCTCTTTTTTATTTTTCTTTTCCTTTTTTTTATAATATTTACAAAGTTGATAAATGCAATCATGATACAAATGTCTATTCTCATCACATGATGCTAATGGAAATGTTGATGCGAATGCAAATGTCAATGCAAATGCAAGGATGCGAATGCTTGATGCAAATACATTTGACTTTTTCACAATGCAAATGACTATGTTCCTTTCATGTAAATGCCCCTACAAATACTTTTTTTTAGGATGTAGATGTCATGATACAAATGCAAATTTCTTTCTCATGGTGCAAATGCAAATGTCTTCTACAAGTGCAAATGCAAGTGATGCAAATGCGAATGTCTTTCTTATGATGCAGATGCAAGTGATGCAAATTTAAATGTCTTTTTTATGATGTATATGTGAATGCAAATGTCTTTCTCATGATGCTCATGCAAGTGCGAATGCAAGTGATGCAAATGCGAATGCCCTTGTTCTTTTTTTTTATGCAAATGCAAACGACGCAAATGCAAATGTCTTTTTTGTGACATAGAGCTAAATGCAAATGTCTTTTTCATGATGCACATGCAAGTGAATGCAAGTGATGCAAATGTGAATGTCTTTTTTTGTGATGCAGATGC